TTAAGTATCGACATTAGTAATTTTAATGTCGTTACCTTGATTTCGATATTTTACTTCAACCGTTACTACATATGAGTATTGAAACAATAAATATGTATAGCATTACATTAATAACAAAAATCCAAAATGTATAAATTATAAAGTTTTTATTTATTTATTTATTTATTTATTTATTTATATACTTTTTTTATTACTGTTGCATTTAAACATTTGAATAGAAGGTGTTAACGAATAAGATGTCAGTTATCTATGTATATTAAAAAATACAATTGAAATAATACGATTTAATTTTACATTTCATTTTGAGTACAGCTGTTTGTACTAGTTTTCGATATTTTATCCCTAATAATTTATATTAAAAATAGTGACGTCACCAGAAATATTTTTAATGGAAATATAGTACCAAATCATATTGATGACCCTTCTTTTTTTTGCTCTTAAAAGTTCTAAAAATTCAAAAACCACTATTATTTTCAAAGAAAGGATTGAAACAAAAAGAATTTTACGATCCTCAAGTTTTGATGTTAAAAAATTACATCAGAACATTCAAAATATTAATTTCTAACCACAACTAAAATTAATTTTTGCGCACGTGTGTTACTAACCCTGTCTATATTTTAGTGTCGTAAAAACTTAAAATAATATGCCAAAAGTGGAAATAATATAAAAAATGATCATTATTACATCCTGCTAATTCCTGAACTTAACATTCTATAGAGGATGGTGGACCTCATTCATGTGTTGGGGAGTCAAAGATGATTCTTAGCTAGGCCAATGATTGATGGGACGGGTATTATGGCCAGCTTGCGCCAGAGATCAGACATTACCAATAAGAAAATAACAAGAAAAATCTCGTTGGCACCTTGGGGATCGAACCCGAAACATAAGTTTCTACCAACTAGGCCAAGCTGACCCTAAAAGTTCAAATAATATATAAAAATATTATTAAAAAAATTTATATTAAAGGGTTGGCCCCTTTAATTTTTTTTTGTGTAGGGTAAAACGAAGTAAGATGACAAATTCAGTATTTATCAAAATCAATCAGTTATAGCAGCACATCCTAGCTGACATAAAATCGTCTTACTAAAATTAACTATGGTAATTAAAAAGTGACATTAATGTAAACATCGCTCCGAATGAGCGATATATTTGTAAATAGTAATAAAATAATTATCAGTCAGAAAAGTATTTAAATTGATAATTGTTAAAGTGGTAAAATTATTCCAGAAGTTTCTCAAAAATCTCGAAACTTCTATTTTAATTCATTACAAATAAGGCAAAATTTAAATATTCGAATAAATAAAATAAAAGTATCATAAATGTCTAGTAAAATTAATACATTTAATGAGGAAACGTGACTCAGCGGCCAAATAATAAGATAGTAGGAATCCTATCTTTATCAATAGTTAGTTACTCAATCGCGTTATTTCGTGTCCCGCGGGTTAGAAATAAGTTCATAAGCAAACTGACAACGTTGCTTTCGTAAGTCTGTATAATTAAAAGGGACAGAGCGTTGAAATCCTTCTTAACACTTATGAATTCCACACGTTGCCAGTTTGCTTATTGACTTAAATTTTATTTGAATTTGTCGCCGTTTTTATAATATTTGTTCCATCGTCTGAAAACGAATGTTAGAATAGGCGCTCAAATATACTAAAATTACTGTTATTAATAGACCGTCCGGTTGAGTTATTTTTCTATTTGTTATTTATCACCCATTAGTATAGTAAAAAAATTGGTTTATAAAATGTATATTATGACGGCTTTGACAATTTTTGGTACAAATTATTCAACCACCACTTTTTCTAAATTAAAATTATTCTTTTTTTAGCAGAAATTTTTGTTATATTTGATAGAATTTTTTAGCTTCGATGCGAAGCTGAGAAGGTATTAATTTTACTATGATGTGTTTTTTTTTTTTTTTTTTATGTCTGTTGCCACTTTTTCTCAGCTCTCACTGGACCGATTTCTTTCAACAATACGTCAAAAGATCACAAATCGTATCTAATTGAAGAAATTACCCTTAAAAATTGAAAAATTTTCCCTCGTTCCACGCAAATGGAAGAAATATCCAAAAAAATTACAAATTTAAAAATCGGTAAATTTCAACATTTTTTTCACTTTTTTTTCTTAAAACTTGCATAACTTTTTCAAAAATAAACAAATCAACATAATTTTATTTATATACAAAAACCTTAGATATTTCCCTTTCATTTGATATCATTTTTTTTTTTAAACAACACTTAACCTGCTCATTGGGAGGGATTTAAAATAGCAACTATTTTACAAAAACTAACTTTTTCAACTTAATTTTTGAAAGTGTTACGGAAATACTGCGTCCTTTAAACATATATCAAATTAAAGCTTATTTTATGTACTATAAAATTAAAAAAAAAAAAATTGTCCCGACGACCTATCTTCTATGCGCAAATGGCTACCATATTCAAAAATATGCTATTTTTCTATTAAAATTCTAGGTTTTGTATTTTATTTTATTTTAAAATATCTTATTAGGAGAATATATTGACTTTCATAAATATTATATTATTTAATTGTCATAGAATAAAGTTCATAAGACATAAGAAATTAAACTTATTAAATTTTTTTTTACTTTTTTAAAGTCGAAAAAGTAATTTTTAAATTTGAGTTAGCTTAAATAGCCAATTTTTTAGCTTCGTTGCGAATTTTTTATATGAAAATACTAATTTTTAATAATATTAAAACTTAGAAGTGATAGAAAAAGTCTAATTGCAGATTTGAAAACATCGCGAAAAGTTGATTTAGAATAGTATATTTTTGTTACTGATGAAAGTTCCTTATAGTTCAGTATATTTATTTATAGTAACAAACAGTTTTTATTNATAGTTCAGTATATTTATTTATAGTAACAAACAGTTTTTATTGAAATTTATTGTATCAAGCCCTTTAAATTTTTATACACGTAAAAATAAAGCAAAATACAACTTTTTTTTCTCCGTTTAAATTACAATATTAAATTATTGAATATCAA